ACAGAGCTGCATCCCAACTTTCCCTCTAATCTTTGAGGGTTAGAGGGAACTTTCATCCTTAAAATCAGCAGAGTGTGTAATATTTAACAAGCTTTTGAACAGCACTTAAAATGAGATAAGTAAGTAAATAAGTATTTTTTTAGCTCATGCTTCCTGGAGGTATTGGTCACAGTTTTGTTCTTCCTGTTGGTGTCCAGACGCTGGGCGAGAACGCTCCCAGTCAGCTGATCCTCTACCACTACCCAGACCTGAAGGAGGAGAAGGGCGTGGTCCTCGTGACGGCTGAGATGGACCCAAAGTTTATAGTAAGTCCTTTGTGAAAGGGTGGTGATTTATGCGACGGCTGTCCACATACTTTTGTCCATGTATTACATCAGAGCTGGACAACAAAGTAAGCTGATGCATCAGTCGAACTCTGTCTGGCATGTTTAACTGCCCATCTGTCCTTCCTCTTCCCAGACCGTCCACCAGGCTCAGTGCTTGGCCAATCAGGTGCAGCTGTTCTACGGCACACAGAGGCAGGAGACGTACCGATTGGTGGAGACGTTCAACCACCAGCCTGAGGACTTCAAACACATGTTGGTGATAGCAGAGCTGGAACAGAGCGGCCTGGGGTCAGAGGTCGCCCCCAGAGGCTCGTAGGGAGACTGTAGTCTGCTGTAAGACCGCCTGCTGTCTGATTCCCAGGAACTGTTGGGCTTCATTTAGTGTCACAAAGTGATATCTGTGCTTCTCTCCACTGGGATTATATCGTCTTCATACTGTGTATAAAGTTTGCAGCAAGAGCTTCAGGGAGCACAAACCGCTTCTCGTGACCCATGAACTCTGTGTGGGACTAGATCACCTCAGACATCTGCTTCACACTGTTTCATTGAGAATAATGTAGTAATGAAAACTTCAATAATAAGTGTCCTACTCTCCATATCAGACTGGACCAGAGGGACTTTATTAGCCCAGGAGCTATCCCACAAAACCCGTATGACATTCAATAAATCATCTTCAAAACACCAAATCTTTCAATCTGATCCATTTATTTTGAAATATAACCAATAGTTCTTAAGAATCTGCCAGATTTTTCCTCCTGTGCTTAAAAAAGTCAATACAGTTTAAATACAGTCATTAACAAGCACATCATCAACATATAGCATATCATTAAATGTCTAAATCAGTGGTTCCCAACCTTTTCAACTCACGGCCCACTTTACAATCTCAAAAATGTTGGCAGCCCACATCTGACCACATAACGGCACGGAGGCCAAACAAACACTTCTCAGTGACTGAAATGTAATGACTGAACATTCAGGACTGAACAGAAAGCAGGGGAAGCCCAATGTTTCTTTTTTGTTTTGATGGGTGGGAGGTTACTTGTCTTCCTATTAGTGGCTAATCACAGTGATAGGTTTTATAACGAGAAGGAAAAAGAAACAATGAGGAGAATTTAAACAGTTTTTAAACATAATTTTGTTAGAAAACATTTAAAAACATTATTTGTATATTTTTATTCTTTTTTTTTTATATAATTATATATTTTTTACCAAAATTGTACTGTTTGGCAAATGATTTGTCGGCCCATTTGTAATACCTTTGTTGCCCCTGCCCACAGGTTGGGAACCACTGGTCTAAGTGATTGTAATCGACCCTGCATCTAATTCCCACAGTAAAAGGACAAATCGTCACAAAAATGAATGAAAGCAAATCGGTCCTTTTCAATAATCAGTGTTACAGCGATCACCATAGTTTTCGTGTCCACTCTGTCGCACAGATCTGTGACGCTCGAGTAAAGTTTGTTTGAATCACACTGTCACACGTGCACTTGTCTTTCCAACATGATCTGGGTTTTACTTGCCTTTAGGAAACACGGACAGGTGGTGTTTTTGTTTTTGGTCACTAAACTGTGACTGGAGAAGATATTTTTATGAGTTTTGTGCTCATCTTGTGTGAGCTTTGTCTCACTGTGTCCTCTGAGTTGATGCGGTACAAACATTTAAGGTGTTGAGGGTTGGGGTTTTTCCATAGTTTTGGCCATCGCCCTTGTCTGTTATTATAATTATACTCACCACTTTAATCACTGAGATCTGGGAATACAACCTGATTAATCAGTGATGTTGCATTCTCAGATCTCAGTTGTAATCTGCAGTGTGCACTTTACTGATGCCTCCACCGGGGGGTGACAAAGTCAGATTCTACAAACGTTGGCCTAAGATGTGTCCTGATGAAGATGTCAGGGCTGCTGTGAAAGCAGACCTGACTCTGTGATACGTGAGGACGTCACCCTGAAGGTATGTACAGTATGAATCTAACCAGATTATATAAATGACAAGACACCAGAGTGGTGCTCTTACACTGGATGAGATTTTAGTTCGTTCACACATCGTAGGTCAGCAGAGACCTTTTGCAGCAGCTTTTATTTTTCAGCATTATTTTTACTTCTGTACTTGACACTGTTGATTTATTTCAGTGCCAGGACGAGGAGGACTCAATCCCCAAGACTGTCTCCTCAAGAGGACGTCCACGTCCAAGGAAACCTGCCACGTTTCTCCTTGTGTTTGCTCCATCGTGCAATAGTGTCCACAAGCTCCGTTCACAGGTAAAGGATGCTTTCAAACACATAAGTATTCCCCTGATTATCAGAAAATGCATTATATTACATTAGACTAGATAAGACTGGATGAGCAGTTTCACAGCAATTTCCACTGAAAATGTTTTTTTATGCCAAATAACTGAAGTGATATGTAGGCGCTTTGTCAGTCAACTTTTCCTTTGGTTATATTGCCCCTTAGTGCTCCTAAAAAAAAAAATAAATCATATTTTGCATGTAGCAATTTAAGACTGTAAAAGAGTCTGTTTTTTATAGTACAGAGCCAGCGTTTGAGCAGTTCTCTGATCCATTTTACTAAATGCAGTTAAAATGGCTTTAAAGCGATAACTTCCTCTCCTGTCCTGCTAACTGTATATGTTGCTGTATGTATCTGACATAAAAATGTCAGTATAGTAAGGTATAACACGTCATAGTATAGTAAGGCATAAAAAGTCATAATAAAGTAAGGCATAAAAAATGTCACAGTATATTAAGGGATAAAAAGTCATAAAAAGCAAGGTATAAAATAACAGCTGTTAATATACCTGTTTGCTGTTGCACTTATTGTACACTATAATGTGTATTATAATTTTTAAGGTAGTTCTCAGTAACCTCTTTAACATCGACACAGTTATTCATTTCTCACTTTTATTGTATTCATATATGAAAATAATACTGTGCAAATCCCTAGACAGAGTTGTCAGGGATGGTCAGATATTCAGTGAAAAACACAAAGAGAATGAAAAAATTATTTCTCTTCACAACATCCTTGTCAAACATTTACTCACTCTCACACACACATACACAGTAGAGACATAACACTGAAGTACAGGAAGCCAGAGAGCATCAGGAAAGATTTTAGTTGAGTTTTTTGATCATGACATGACAAGTTTGATTCCTTCAAATCTAAATCATGTTTGCCACCTCTGGCTTCCTGCACTCATGACTGTGGACCACCATGGCACAAGCATCATATAAAAGAAAATCACGCAGCATTCACTTGCAGCTGGACCAAACAATAATGTGCTAAACTTCTTATCATTCTAGTTGTATCAAAATCTTACAAAACAGTTCAAACAATGTTAATCAAACATTTCTCCTCATCTACAGATCCTAACATTGGCTGACTGTAACATACAGTACAGTGGCTGGACTTTAACAGGAAACCATTAAAAAACACAATAGATACAAATTTCTCTATCTCTCAGTGTCGCATTTTATGTCAAATACACAACAAATACACAACCTCTCAGTGAGTTTCATGTTCAGTATCATCAGGTCAGAACTTCGTAGTTGTTCATTGTCCACGCTGCGTTAAAAACCCAAACTACAAAACTTTAGATCAAAACCTCTGGAGTGCTTAATAATCCACAAATCTGACAAAATGAAAACCAAAAAAAAAACAGATGTGATACTTGTAGTAAAGTATTGGTGGATGATCTGATCCAAATCCATCAGAAAGCTTTTGGAGCACTTCAGTGGTGAAACACAGGAGCCTGTTGCAGGACTCTGTGACGACTTCAGGATAAAATAAGACATAAGAAATGTGCTACTAGTTTGTTGATGCTGCTTCGCCCTCAGTTCCATTAATGCTAAATTACATAATCTTATGTAAAGTTGATTAAAGGAACTTTAAGTAACGTTTTCCTTAATTTTCACAATAAATTTTTCCAGCTGGGTTTATTTATATAGCTCTGTGATACCAGAAGTAGTCAGGGTATATTATACATGTGTTAATACAGGGAGCTAATATGATAACGTGTATGTTTTTCTAAATCACGGATGCTAGAAATAAGAGAATAGTATATCACTGTCACTGAGGCCTGACCAAGAGTTTGCATCACAGGACTCCTGGTGTGTGTGTGTGTGTGTGTGTGTGTGTTTGTGTTGCCATTGAACTCCTTTTTTTGATAAATCCAGATCAGAGGAACTAGTGTGAATCTGGTTTTAAAAAAAGTTTATGGACCTATCAGATCTCAATATTCACATGCTCGAAGGATCCTTAAGACTTGATGCTGGGCTCAAATATTCTTTGACTGTTCATAGCTCCCTGTCTCACAGAGAAGTCGACGACAATATCTGCATCAAAAAAATTTCGTTTTTAACGTCATTGTAGTGTCACGTTAGTGTCATTGTACAGAGTGATGCAAGAGCAATAACATGGCAGCCTGTAAACTTAACAAGCCGAGTTTTGTCTCAAAATGACTGAACCACAAAACTATGATGGAAGCAGGGAAAGGTGATGGAAATGCAACGCCACGCAAGGCGGGGCAGCGTGACTTGTTGGCTGAACATGCAACATGCAAGCTCAACATCACGTCCACTCACATCTTGCCCTGCATCTCGTGTTCTGTGTCAACACAGCTTTAGACTCTTCACCACAGTTTCTACTGCTCTGAGTCGTAGCAATAGTAAGCTCCACCCTCTTCATTCCTGCAAGGTAAACATTTGCAAAAAGCTACGTGCTACAAGGTTTTCTACCTGGTGCGTACGCTTCCATATAACAAACTGGACTGTGCTTAAGCAAAATATGAGCCAGGATCAACATTTAAATTTGTGCTTTTTGTTGGTAGATCAGACCTCTGGTTGTGAGTTTGTGTTATTGGTGCAGCACTTAGCATCAGTCTGTCTGCAGCCGTCATCGTACCGTGTGCTCCACTGATTCCCTGAGCAGTTCCTCGGCAGTCATGTCTCAGTACATGTCCTCAGCGTCTCTGATGCTTCCGAATGACAGACTGAAAGTGCTTCCTAGTCTCTTGGTGACGCTGCTGCCCTCTCTCTTCTTCTTTCTGTTCCAGTTCAGCAGGGAGGCGGAGCTCTGGCCCTTAGCCGCGCCCAGCAGGCGCTGCCGAGCATTTTCTTTATCGCCACAGTTGGACAGCATGATGGCCCTTCGCTCACAAACCTGCTGACACACAGGTAATGTCCTGGTCACCAAAAAGGTAAGCATGCATACATTGAAACAGCAGGCACTGATATAACAACAAACACACATAAGTACCTGTGTATCATGTGAGTGTAAAGTGACAACACTGAGCTCCACCCCACTCTCACTGCAGCTCTTCAGCATGTTGACAACCTCGCCATGTTTGGCCCATTTACAGTCCTGTCCGTCCACTGCTACGATGTAGTCTCCTTCCCTCAGTCCTGCCTCCTGTACAACACACATCAGAACAGAAATGAAAAGTAATGCATTTTTATTGCATTTTCTACACTGTTGATAATTGAGTAATACATTTTCAACTGTAAATTCTGCAGCCAATCATCATCCACATGTACAGGCCGACTATTGCTATATGTTAAAGTCTGGTGTTGGCGTCCAACTTCACTATGTGCACAATGTGGTGCAAGAGTTAAAAAGTTTACATGAATTCATATATAAATGTGTTGTGGTGTCACCTTTAAACCCTGGATTGGTCAGGAATGAATTATTGCATCTTAAATACACAAAGACTTAAATTGTGTTTAAGCTGATTTTAAGGCAGATTAAACATAAAACTCAATGTTTCCAGATTTTACCGGAAAAAATGTTTTGATTAAGATAGGAGGAGCAGATTAACATTTAATTTAGTTTAAATTGATTTTCAGATTGATTTTATGTCCATACGAATTTAAACCAACAAACAAAGAAATAGAAAGAGAGAAAATTCAAATGATCTTCAAATTATACAAATAATCCCTCAAAAAAAAAAACTCAACCAAGATTTTCCTAATTATTGATCTGATTTTTTTTCCCAATCATCAAAATAAACACTAGTAAATAACTGGCTTTTACTTTCACTCAGAACCTTCCTCAAAATGTGCAGATGTTCTGCTTTGAGTAACATCTGTCTGACCTGCTTCCAGCCATCTGACAGTTTTGGAGAACATGGAGGAGAGGATCAGTGCTGCTGTGACTGATGAAGTAACAGGTCAGTGGATTTCGTCTTACCGCTGCACAGCCTCCAGGTATGACTCCTGCCACCAGGACGGGGGAGTCTCCTCTGAGTGTGAGGCCCAGGCCGCCCTCTCTCCTCTGCAGGCAGATCAGTCGCACCGGGCCCCAACGAGCCCGCGCACAAAACACTGACAGAGGCCCCTGCAGCACAGACAGGAGTCCTCCTCAACTCAAGTACCAGTAGGTGCTACAGTTTATTTTAAACTTCATTGCAGTGTGTATTTACCAGTCTTTGGAAGATGTCAGTAACTTGCACTGTAGAGAAGTTGGTTGGAGTGATGTCTGGTTTCTGATGGGTTTGAGCTATCAACACAAGAAACCAAAAATCACTTCCTGTCATTTCATCATAGATTGAATATCATTGACTACTGAATATTATAGAAGCGTCTTACACTGTATCTCTGGAGCCTCTGCGGTTTCATCAAAGTCATCCTCTCGGTCCAGCTCGGAGTACTTGTCCAAAGAGCGTTTGTGTGTGAGAGACAGCACGTCCTGCAGAATGTCCATCTTCCTCAGGATCTTACACAGACCGTGGACACGCATCGCCTCCTCGTGTCTAATTACTGCACGCCGCAAGTGAGCTTTACCTGTACACGAGTAAGAAGAGATTTCTTTTTTTAAATATGTGAAAATAATTGACCCAAAATAGCAAAATTATAAAACTTCCTTTGGACATTTCTTCCCTCATGTGTGCACAAAGTTGACTTTCATTGTACCAGCAGCTACCTGGTGCCTTGCGTCCTTTGTAACGACAGATGGTTCACTGCTGTATATCTGGACCAGATAACACGCAACTGATTCACATGAACTCACCAAGCTTTCGTCTCTTTTCAGGGTCTTGTAGGACCTGGCTGAGCGACGGCCCTGGAGGAGTGCTGACATAGAACTGGAGGAAAGCCTTCTCTGCTTCCTCCTCATGCTGCTCCTTCTCCTCAGCAGATGCTACAGGAGCTATAGAAGATAAACAAAAGTTATAATGTATGTAGATACTCACAACTGTCCTGCGCAGAGCAAAGACTGCACTACAAAACCTGATCCATAATATCAGTACAAAATTTTTCCATCACTTATTTAGCAATATAAACAAATAGCATTCATTCTGAGAGGAGCTCCTCACTTCTACTGCTCATTTGTTTTATATCTATGTATGTTACATTATTTTTTTTAATTTTCTTGCCAAATAAAATAAAATAAATAAATGAATTACATGTATTTCAAGTTTTTTACTTAGTAGTTTTTACTTACACATGTGGTCACAGAGGGCAACAGCAGTGTAGTAGTGTGAGAGAGCACGGAAGTGTTCAGATTTGACCTGAACCATGGACGCCCACGAGAAGGGCACGTAGTCCTTCATCAGAGGCTGTGTCATGGTCTGCTGCACCAACAAGTAGACGTCCGACACCTGCAGGACACGCGTGTACGTTCAGACTGAGTATCGCAGGATGTAAACAGAAGCAACACAGACAAATAAAGAGACGTGTGTGCTCACGCGTGCAGCTTCCTGTGCCAGGCTGAGTTGAGAAGTAAAGTGTATGTCCTGTGTCGTGAGCGTGACGCGCTCGAAGACACACTCCTGCACCTGGGCGATCATCAGCCGGACCAGCATGCAGAGCGACGGACCACTCATGTCCAGACTTGGCGCGTTGGAGAAGTTCTCCTTAAGGTAATTAAACGCACCTAAATACACACGGAAAGAAATGGCTGTGAACGTTGGATGTAATATGGATAAAATCCCATTTTATGAAATTTTATGTTTTAATATCAATAAACAGGAAATCATGGTAAAGTGCAGTTTCCAGGAATCAACTGAAATTATATATAAACATAATAACTGGACGGGAACGTCTGTTTTTGGAAAATCTAGAAAATAAAACAACTGCCAGAACCAAGGTTACTTCATCAATTTGATGGAAAAAGAAGATGCGTACATAATAAATATAATAAATGAATATAGAAATCTTATATTGCCATAAAGATGCCCTATTCATTAAATTCAGGGACAGACAGTATGATAAAAAGATGGTGACCAAATCTTCTGCCATCCTGACGGTTGATTAATTTTATCAGTCAATTTACAGAAAATTTATCAACAACGATTTTAAGTTTCGTTTAAATTTATCAAAGTAACATTTTCTGGTTCCAGCTTTTGAAATGTGAAGATTTTATCTGTTAAATCTCTGTAAATTGAATTTTGTGTTTTGACATTTTCTTGAACTGTGGGGAAACTGTGATGGACCCCTTTAACCAGTTGACAACTGGTTAAAAATTAAGCCATAGATTAATGTGTGTAAATAAATTAAATATGAACAAAATGTACAATTTAGCACAGAAGGTGAACAGGTTCAACTGGACATCTTAACTGTGTAGTCTCCCAAAACAAGTGAACAGAGCTAGTGTCACATTCAGATTTGTGTTTCAGTACCTGCAGCTCGCTGAAAGGCATCTATAGCTCGGTCTATTCCAGCTGTGGCAGAGCGGTCCTGCCGTGCTCCGATCTGTGTGTACAGAGCACCGATGTTGAACAACACGCTTCCTTTCTCAAAGGCCAGCGCACGCTGGCACGACGGGACGCCTGTCAGAGAGTCGTACCTGAGAGACGGCAAAAGACTTGAAATTCTACAACTGAACTTATAAGTTAATGTTGTATGAATTTGTCTTTACATCAAAGGACTGAAACACATGAAATGATGCCCAACTGCTTCTTACTCATGTGGAGACCCTGGAAGACCCCAAACTAACAAATAAAGCAGAGTTACTGGCTGAAAAATGAAAAGTGTTCATATCTTACCAGTGGAAGTGAACGCCGAGGTTCCTGTGTGGAGGAAAGAAGCGCTGGTCCAGGTAGTACAGCTGGTTGTAGTACTCCATCAACAGCTCCAGACCAGCCTGGTTGCGACTGGGTGTACGCATGGCCTGACCCACAGACAACACACACAGATATACATCTAACATCACAAACAGACTGAAAGTTTCCTACACGTACGTTTTTTTCTCCATCAACAGTTTCTCTATCGCTGCCTGGAGGTAGTCTACACTGATTTTCCACATCTAACTTAATAAAACCGGATCTAATACTTAACCAGGTGAATGTTTGTTTTGTATGAAGTTGAATGATTGAATTTATTAACCTGTCTGAGCTCCATAAGCTCTTTGATCTCCTTGTCGTACAGAGAGCTGTCCTCTCCATAGTGCTCACAGATGAAGTCCTGTGAGAGGAGACAGACATGACGTGATGATAAATCAGTTTCGCAGCAACTGAAAACCTTTGTGCACTTGTACATATTTCACAGTATGTATTAAGCTTTGCTCCTCAATAGCACAAACATGACAGGAGAATGACAAATTAAGAAGACAAACTGTTGTTTTAGCTTGATCATTGTGATGCATCCATGCATGCATACTGAGAAAAAAATCCACATCCACTAGAATCACTTTAAAATCCTCACTTTAAACTTGTGCAGTGAAAATACTCTAACACAAACTCCTATATGTTTGTCAAGCTTTGGCTTGACAAACATGCATTTATTCATAAAACAGCATTTATGATAAAATATAACTTTTTATAATTAATCAGGAGTGCAAAAACATTGGTGGATGTGAAGTTAATTCAGTTTATACAAACAAATAAATCAGGCTAAATGATGTCTGATATATTGTCTTTAAAATTAGGGTCAAAGGTCAAACACCAATAAGCTTAACAATATTCCTTCACTACTTGTTCTAATAGTGTCTAATAAAATCAGTCTTTATTTTTTCTGTAAAAATGAGATAAATGATGTGGGTGAAATGTGAACAGCTGGATTCTGTCGTCACCTGGATAGAAACAGTGAAGTCCACCTCTTTGGTTTCTTTTAAGCCGAGTGGGATCATGGGAACGTTGACAGCCTCACTGAAAAGAAATAAATACAGTATGTGTTTGTGTGTAATCTGTCACCAGTTACACTACGTCAAAACCAACACACACACACACACGGGTTTCAACCACAGTCAAGTGAGCACTGCCATCTGCTTGTCTTCAGACACAGCAGGCTCACTACTCAGTGCTTCATCCCACTAATAAGCAAAGCTAAAGCCAAGTATTAACCCTTACGGCTCCGACACCCCCCAAGTCACTTCCTCCCATTCACAGTGAACACAAACGTGCACAACACGCCATGGGGTCATTAATGACACTCTAATCAGGGGATTTATCCCTCCCATGACCCGGGCTGCACAGGGAAAGATCTCCAAGCTGTGACAGACTACAAACACACACACACACACACACACAAACACAGATTCCTTTGAAGGACTGATAACCAGACAAAACATAAGATAAATGCTACAGGAGCACATACACTCAAGAGAAATGGATGCTTGTTTTCACCTATTATAATTCTGATTAGTCTAATGAGTGTGGCCTGGAATGCTTGGGATGAATAATAAATAGACTCTGATCTGTGTGTGAGTCAGAACTGTCTACCTGTCTGTCTGGTAGACCTCCATGTTGCTGTTGAGCTCCTCCAGTTCTTCCTTCAGCAGCTGCAGGTTGGAGTTGACGAAGCTGAGCTCCAGAGCGACAGTCTCCCTCACCTTGTTGTTGGTCGTCGCTCTACAGAATAAAACACACACACCTGTTGTCAGATGTCTTCCCTTCATTTACTCTAACAAAACAGACTATAACAGAATACAGCACACATCAGTTTTAAATTTGACAGGAGAAAATGTGAGTTAGTTTGACTTTACACCAAATCAGCCAAGTCAGAAGTCTTGCCGCTGAGCAGGAGACACACAAACCTCCTAAACAACCAGAAAACTGTCATAAAGTAAGTTCTATACCATACCCCATATTCAACCCCTTTGGATCCTATTATATATGTAGGTTACTTATTATCAGTTCTTGTGTTAAAGAATCAGAAACTGCAATTGTCCACACTCAAAATAATTTATATCCGTTTAGAGTTCAGCTTCTGATAAAAAAAAACAACAACGCTGCAATTAATGCAGAAAATGAACCATTATAACAATAAAATACATAAATCAGCAAGCAGCTGCTGAATTCTCATACAAAATTAAAATTATCATTGTAAATTAATATAGTAGAAATCATTACATAAAGCTTATGAGTGCTTTAATGATTACTTGACTAATCAATTACTTGATCAACCAGAAAAAAAAAATCAACAAGTTTGGATTTAACAATAAAACTGAGAAACACTCTCTATTCAGCTTCAAATGATACGGTTTCTGTTGCTCTTTTCTGGCATTTTATACACTAACTGAAAAATGTAAATTTAAAACTCAGGAGTTAAGCTGAATGTTATATGATGATAATAATCAGTGTCTGACGAGAACAAACAAAAAAAATCAAACAGTATCACTTTGTTGCTTTCTATATACAGTAACTGTGGCACGTGCATTTGTTACCAATGTTGTCTCTGTAATTTGAGAATGAAAAATAATGAGATATGAATTTGATATTTGACATTTCTGTAGTAATTATATACCATAATTCAACCATGGAAAAAAAACATAAATTAGCTGCTATTATATCTGGGACATTACATTGCTGAACATGCAGGTGTAATTTTGCAGTGGATGTTAAGCAACTCTTCCACCAAACCACAATACACACACTAAGCAGTGGACTTTCCTTTCACAACAAGCCTGTCTTAAATGTATGCATCTCTCTCTCTCTCTCCACCAACTCCTCCATCATCCTCTGTTCATTCAGTCCAAGACTCTCCACTCCTCTCAACACAGGGGGAGGGTCTCAGTGCTGCGTAAAGCCAGCTCACACTCCTGTGGTGGGGGCAGAGATGAACAACACAGTGTTCCTGGAAATCTGAGGCATCAATGGGTTACCATGGTAACTAATGATATACACTTTGTTGGACAAGTGGCTAAGAAAATCCCCCTAATTATGCAATCATTAAATTTCACTGGCTCAGTGACACAACGAGACTGAGTCGTTTGAGCCTCAAGCACAAACAAGATGAGGTTGAGAAGCAGAAATGGAAGAAATAATGAAAAAAAACAAAAAACAAAATAACGATTTCAGTAAAGCAGAATAGACGAATACTAGATGCAGGAAACAGTGATAGAGTTTTCTTTATTTCAAAGTTTCTCACTTTCATCGAATAATTGGAAAGATTAAAGGTCTTGGTGCTGAGTGAGTCATCAAGACGCATCATGGAGTCGAAGATTTGAGGAGGAAAGATAAACAGAAACTCACAAAATCATAGAACTAACAAGGTGTGGCTCAGATATGGGTCATAGATAAATAATACAGTTAAGCTCACTTAAATGTCAGATTTTCTTCATGGATTCTCCATCTGGGAAAATTGTATTCTTTCATTTTTCTCTGAGCATATAATCAGTGGACTATTCCTTGAAATTAGTGTCATCACTCCAGTGAGGGCACGACACACACAGAGTCAGCTCTATTCTCTTTTACCAAATCAGACTGCATCCTGCCCTCCACGTTTAACACTCTCTAATTAGACACATGTTCAATGTAACCAGTGTTTGTATCACAGCTAGTTATTCTCAGGTGCTCTCACTCCAATGCTCACACTTTTTAACACTATTTTTCATTAAAAATTAAATGTTTTTTTCCATTAGACACAGCGTTTAACTACGGCACTATCAACAACAAACCTGTACTCATGCCTAATTTTCATTAGTTGTTGTGAGTTTTATAGTATTTCACATTGTGTTATTTTCACAAAAGCCCTTCTAGGGACAGGTGTTGCAAGTTAGCATCTGCTATAAAAACTATGCCAGGCTGTTTTCAGTTTGTCTATGTGTACTGTATCAGTCCCAAGCAAATAAATAAGGGTTATACATTTTTGAAGATATTACAACCTTTGACTTTAAAAAAGCCGCCAGTTGATACTCTGGCTTTTGTCAGACACAGTACAGAACATCTTACATAAACAAAAACTGAACTAAACATTATTGTACATAATGAATACTGAACATACTGAATATGTACAGTAAATATGATGAAACATGATAAATTGTCCAGACCTCATATGAGGCAGATTTGCTTTTGGGTTAAACTTTTTACCATTGTTTGCTTCAGTCAGGACAATCAGTGACCTCTGCACAACCTGAAAAATGTGATTCTCTAATCACATGACCAAACTGGGCTCAAACACGCAGCTGAAGCTCACCTCTGAGCTCCTTTTAAATAATGTTAATCTGTCCAGTTAGACCACTTTACATTCACCTCTCCCTCCGTCACTCCCTCCCGATTTCCCACACACACACAGACACACGCACGCACACACACAGACACACACACACACACACACCTATATCTAGGATCAAGCCAAGGGCAATCTGATTAGTCAGCTTTAAATGGGCTGCCAAATATCCCCTTCACACACACCCACTTGCACGCACAACACACTGCAGCTTTTGAGGGGAGAACTAACTCTTAGTAGAAAGTATCAGAGAGGCTGAAAACAAGTTGTTTTACCTAACTTATCATAGTTTTGTAATTAACTGACATGAGGACCAGGATTAAACTAGTTACTGTCCCTCAGCTGAATTCCCACAGAGAAATACACTGTGTAGCACACAACATGACGTCTTCATCAGCCAATCACGAGCCCTGATGAGTTACAACCCATCTTTCATCTGTAATTAGCATCTTAACACTCCCACCCCATCACCCACCGCTACTCATACCACGACCCAATTCCACAACAGTTTCAGAGTGAGTGAAGTGAAAAAGAAAGCGAGATGTTTTGTTGTGTGTGCTTGTGTATGTGTATGTGTGTGTGTACAGTATGTGTGTGTGTGTGTGTATGTGTGTGTGTGTGTGTGTGTATGTGTGTGTGTGTGTGTGTGTATGTGTGTGTGTGTGTGTGTGTATGTGTGTGTGTGTGTGTGTGTATGTGTGTGTGTGTGTGTGTGTATGTGTGTGTGTGTGTGTGTGTATGTGTGTGTGTGTGTGTGTGTATGTGTGTGTGTGTGTGTGTGTATGTGTGTGTGTGTATGTGTGTGTGTACTATTCCAGTTGACCGGAAAGGGGGAGGATAGAAAAAAAAAAAAAGTCTGACAGTGCCAGACAAATAAGTGGGGGATGAGCTTGCCAGGGCTTCGTCTCTCTCTGCATGGGAACAGGACGGGAGGCGGACACAAAGCCAGCTGATTACAGGCCGGCAGGCTGTGTGGGGGTCCTCTTTGTCTCTGTGACCCACCATCCCAACAGAAAGGGCAGGAGGACCTGTTTTATTTCCCCTAAACTGAGTCATCACCTTTTAGGATAACAGCCTGAAACCAGTCAAAAGTGGAGCTGGAGAGGGAGAGAGAGAGAGAGAGAGACGGCCAAGAGAAAGGAAAAAACATCCCTACCTGTTAAAGATTTAGTCCAAACTAACAACTAAATTAACATAATTAACTAATTGTTAAAGTCAGAAACAGTCACTAGTTTCAGTTTCTCAAATGTGAGGACTTTTACTGTTTTATATTTGGCTGGACTTACAATTATTACAACAAGTCATTATACTGTATTTGGTAAAATAAAATTGCCCACCACAGTTTTCTAAAGCCCAAGAAAATGTCTTCAAATTACTTTTTTTTTGTTTAACCAATAGTTCAAAGACCCAAAGACATTCAGTTTACTATCACATAAGGCAAAAACAGTAAATCAACACTAGAAAGAGTTCATGTTTGAGTGTTTTGCCTGAAAAACAATTAACTGACAATCAAAATAGTTATTTTCCAGAATAATACATGAATGGACTAACTGTTTCAGTTTTAGTCTGACATCCTTGTTAACTAATATCTTTGGGTTACGTAGAGTCAAGTCTTGGACTCTGGAAATATATGAGAGATATTTTCCACTTTGCCTGTGATTTTATAGAATATAATATTTGAGACAACAATGACAGTAATGGTAGGTATTTGCCCTGTTTTCTATCATCCATCTATCCCAGAGAAAGTGGGAAAGTTGATTAGTTGAAGCCCAACATGTCCTGGGAGGATAGTGAGGGGTGCCCTTGGTTGTCTTTTAATTAAAGACTCTGTTGTTTTCTCTGTTGATCTTATTAAATTCTGACACGACACTAAGAAGGAGGCAGAAAGTATGTCCTTTCTTTAATTAAGTGGCTCCTCCTTCTTCTCCAAAGTTGAATCTTTACGAGTTCATGAGGGAGAGGCAGTGACTCCTCTGCAAATGTGTTTTCAGACTATTGCACTACAATTCTCAAAACTGCTATGACAAAAGTGGAGATCAAATGTATGCACATATATTACATGTATACATGTATACTTTCAGAATCCGTACAAACATGCACAGCCTGAGAAATAGTTAAGGAGAAGGAAAGGGGGAGGGAAAAGGCAAAGGCACAGAGAGATGGAGAGACGCTGGAGAGGATAAAGATGATGTTAATGTTCTCAGAGAGAACACTTTGATGTTCTGCCATCGTTTCTTTTTTCATTTCCCTCATTTCTTAACCAATAAAACTCTTGCATGCTGTGTGAATGACAGCCTGCTGCTTAAAACACAAAGCGAGCACAGTTCATTCTGGTGATTAACTGTTGGTGCTCGTGCTGCAGAAGTAAGCAGTGTTCGATTACTATCAAAGAATATACGAAATATGAAAAAAAGAAAGAGGAGACACAAACGTTCACAACACAGAGAAGACACAGAAGCAGACAGACACATAAACATGCATGTTTACACACAGTGAACACAAACAGAACCATAAAACTGGGTGGTGCTGGTGAGTGCGTGTGTGTGTGCGTGTGCGTGTGTGTGTGTGTGTGTGTGTGTGTGTGTGTGTGTTTTGTTTAGGAGGGGAGTGATCTCTGACCTTTTCCCATCACCGGACTGAACCACAAATGTGACAGAGCCAACAAGTTAACAATGAGCAACCAACACAGAGGAGACCTGAATAGCATCTATCACTACATCTTAGAGGAGGAGCTGACGAGACAAAGTAACCATGAACAATGGGTCCATCTTACTACTAGTGATGTCACGAGAACTGACACTTTGGTAGCAAGTCAACACCAAAAATCAGAAAATGTAATGGCACTGGAGATTCTTCCAGGCCTGATGAGGGCAGAATAATAACCCTACAAGTATTCTACTAGATCTAGTACATTAAACATAAAGGGAAGGAGAAGAAGAAGGCAGACATAGTAGCAATAACAACAACACGTGGAATGGCAACGGAAAGTGCAGGTGCAGCAACAGGTCCACTACAACTTGCCAAGAGTCACTGGGTTCAAAGAAGATCATCAGAGACAAGTCAGAAGACAAGTTATAGATGACCAAAATCTGGTATGCAAACAGTGCCACAGAGCATTTAAAATGAAAGGAGGATCAGTTGTTAACTGGTTATTTACAGCATATCATCAAAATGTTCATGTCCTGAAATGTTATTGTTTGTTATTGTTATTGTGACAGCTACAACGCTCCATACACAATGTTCACAAACGCTAGCATTAGCTTGTTTAGGCTAACATAGCGACAGCTCATCACATGAACTGGGTGGCCACTGTCATTACTCTTTCGTCAAAACACAACTTTGACTCTTTCACCATGTCACCATGTTAGTTCATTTAAACAACTCCTTGCACACTGACTATATGAAGGGATGTGTGCGTGTCTGTGTGGAATCTGTTACCAAGAATCATAGAATTTCAATGGTACTGATTGTGACTAACAAATTTCCAGTATCATGACATCCCTACCTACTGCATTACAACTAGTAAAGCAGACAAACTCTTCACAAGATAAACCCCTTAACAATTTTTCACCCTACTATTATGCTTTGAAATCCATTTTCAAAAGCAGGTAAGAAACATGTCAATATGACTGTATATTTTCACTTATTTCCAACATAATTTCCCTTGTTTTAATTAATCAGGTGACTCTATCTTCACACTGACTCAGTGAAGTAGTGATGCACATTATCTGAACATGTGCAGCAGGAAAACAGATGACAACTCAGCAGATGAAACTAAGGCTGAGCAATGTCAACATTTTGATACCAAACTATATACATTTTGACTCCACAAAATATCGCCATGTATCATATGATCATCAGAGCGGTATAAAGGAAAACAGCAGTGTGATTCAGCCTCACCTGAACAAGTTCTCTGCTCCGGCTCTCATTAGCATCTCCTTGTTGATTTGCTGGTTGATGCGTGCTCTTCTGTGCTGCAGTTTACTGCGCTGAGTCTGGGCGAAAGGATCGCATCCCTGCAGAGGCAATAAAGACAGAGAGTAGGCAACAGAAATGATGAAGGCCTGAATAATGAATGTCATAAAAGTGAGCAGTGTAAGAAGTACCATACTGGCCCAATATACAACAAACCAGGACTGCAAAGCAAACAATAACATCCTCTAAATGTGTGGTTAAATAGAGTTTATCAATAACAATATATCACATTTATAATTGAGTTATTGAGTTATCGCATTTTAATGGTAGAGCTTATTGGTAGCAATAGAATACAGGCTGGACAGAAAGCTGCCTGAGAGCCTTACTTCAAAGCAAAAAAAAGGCCATGTGGGATAGAAAAGCATGCCATAGATGATGGGTGTGTCAAAGAGCATGTCAGAGATGTGGGGTAGCTGAGGGCTCAGGAGAGGAGAGCCTTGTGGATGCTAAGGATGGAAATAATCTGACGTGGTGCAGCAGGAGGAGAAGCTTCTCCCCAGCAGGACATTATGTTTAATAGAAAAAGGAGTTTGTGATATGTCAGAGCTCTGTATCTGTCTGAAGATTTAAAGGCCTCTTAAATCTCACTTCAACAGGTATTTTTCCAACCACACCCCAACAGCTTCCCCACAGCTGATTGTTAGACGTCTGCCCACTAAAATCAGCAATCTATCATACAAGGCCCCACTGTTTCACACTTAGAAGGTAAACAGATGTACAGTAACATGACAGATGGAGCAGCCGTACTGTAAACAGGCTGAATACTCCCTTTCCTTATCCCTGTGGCTCCTTCCATCACCTTCTCCAGCCCTCCTACAGACAGTTTGTACAGCGTGTGGACGTTTCCCATTTTCTCACACTCTTTCTCCCTTTATCTTTCTTGTTCCCTCTCACCCAGTTAAGGTGTTTGTTTAGCATGCGCACGTCAAGTAATCCTCAGAGTGCCTGTGTGGATTAGGCTTCTGGCCGAGCTCCCTCCTCTGCTCCACCATCAGGAGGGCAGGAGGATGGAGGCTGCTCGACATCTGTGCAGTTAAAGTCTGTGTCAAAAACCTGTCCAGGTGAGACTTTCTCTAAGCAGACATCTTGTTTTTCAACTTATAAGTTTTCTTTGCAGTCAAGCAGTAGAAGGTGATGTGCCGTGCTTAAGGGCACCAGGTCTGTGATCATTAATTTTCTCCATTCATGCTTTTCAAATACACCCACATCTTAAGGTAATTAAAAGGATCAGATGAACCGAATTCTAAAAATACATATTTTCCCAGTTATGTTTAGTGGTTTTGGTTTTATCTGCTGTGGCCTTGAGACACCTGCCTATGAGATTTCAGCTGTTACACACACCCAGTAGGGATGAATGGATTTTGTTTGTGGTTGATAAAAGTATTGAAAAATTCATCATTCATCAAGTATATTTGGAATTACACTTTGTGAAGATACACAAACACCAAGAGGGGTTTAATGGGTAACTGTAGGTTGCAGAGGTTTGCAGAGGAGGTGACACGCACACCTCCCAAACTTGAACAACACACTGTGGATCACTGAGCTATAAGCTGACTGGTTGATCAATCTCCTGAAAATGTATACACGCACAGATAAGCCCCAAAATCACTACATGTATAATATAAAAACCCTACTTGTAGCCTCAACCATTGTTTCTATCAAAAGACATAGCTGCTATTTTTCATTGCTTTAAGTTTCACATATGAAATTGCATTCACCTTCACTGTATTGGGGAAATACCATCAGAGACTCTGCTGATCTCAAAACTTGGGAAAATTGCAATATCACTTATCTGCTGCTAATTTTTTGTTATATCTAAGTATTTAAACTATACATATTATACTATAATATTGTTTATTTTTTAAGTATTTGGTACTGTCATTTTTCTTTCTTTGTAGTGTGCACTTTGCTGCTGTAATACTGCAAATTTGACAGAGACAGTACATCCCAAGACCTCACATACCTGTAGTGTGTGTCTTTGTATATATGTTTTTGAACGTGTGTGTTTGCAGGTGTCGCACCTTTCGGATGCTCCCACTGTGGCTGCCCTCTGTGGGTAACGTTAAGGGCATATCGTCGTCCGAGGCACCGTCTGACAGGGACATTTCAAACTCTCTGTGGAGAATACTGTCAGTATATATACATTTATTTTTACTTTAAAGTGTCACATACTTGCTATACATCACTCTTTATGTTAAACCCATCCCTCACATTACTACGCAGATTCCAAACCAACAATATTTAACTGTAAACGGGTAAGTTAGCTAACGAGTCGCGGTTTTATCACTTGCCTTGTCGCTGGTTCCTCCATCGTGAAGCAACGACACCGGCGGCCAGGAAGTTCCTACATTTCCCCCAGCTTTGTATAACTCGTATAAAGTCAGTCAACAACGGTAGACAACAGTAAACAACTTTTCACTCCGAAAAACGACCGAGTTTCTACTCTTTACATCGTGGTACCACCATCTCCTCCTCCGCTCGCTTTTTTCTGACTTGTGTGCAGCTGCAACAGCTTATTCGCCGAGGCGGGCCGTGAATGTCGAAAACAACCAATCAGATTGCAGTATGTAAGAGCGACAGTAGATGTACCAAATCAGAGGGAGGATTAGGGCAGACCAACAGCCAAGGGTGACCAATGACAAGGCGCTCAAGGCGTCCCCTTACTCCGCGGGCCGTTGCTATGACGACGTCAGGGTTGTGGCTTGTGTGTGGGCTCCACCTCCGTGTAGGACTGAAAACATGAATATAAATCATTTTATTCATATACACAGAATTATTTTGTATAATTTACTTTTGTATATAATTCCTTTATTTATGTATTTCTTATGATAGCCATTATTATTATTATTATTTGTATTATTATTATTATTATTATTATTATTATTATTATTATTATTATTATCATTATTATCGCATAATAATTTTGTATGTGATTTCAGCTAAAACTAGTCCAGTACTATTGTTCCAGACCTCTGAAATTATTATGTGGATCATAAATAAATAGGTTATTATTTTAATTGGATAATTCATTCATCTTTTTATCCATCCATTGTCTATTGTTTAGCCAAGTCTGGGTCATTTTTAATACATACATGCGTTTGGTTAACAACTCCCTGGCCATATCATCCGTGCTGATTTTTTTATAGATATTTTTCATACTTTGGTCTATATAATTGTGTGTAAATTGCATGTTGGATTAAAAAGGTCTAAAAAGTCTGAAGTTGAACGTGGTGAACCATGCAGAAAACCTAGTCCGAGGCACTGTCCCAAATCTTTTGGGGCTGTATTGTTTGCGCTGTGAATATTCAAAGTGGTGGAAGAAGTATTCAGATCCAGATTCAGAAGTTTAAAAGGGAAATGTCTCTTTGGTGGGACTGCTAACAGCTCATAGACATCTGAGGCACCTTAAATACACACCACTTTTATATAAGGGGTCACAAGCCAACATCGTAAATAATATGTTGCAGCCTATTTTATAAGGTTATTTTGTTTTTTATCTTGTTAAACTTGAACTTAAGATGTCAAAAAACAATATTTCCCTCTGAAATGTTGTGGATTATATGTATAAATTAGCATAAAATGGAAACACTGTACATACGTAGAGTACAGAGCCAAACACAACTGTTGGGCCCCGCTTCCTGAGTACTGTCACTTTCTCAGTTGTCGAAATACAACTGTCACTTACTTCCTGATACATTTTTCTTCTAAGAAATGTTATCTGCTCTCAAATTACCTCAGGTAATTTGCTGTGTGGCCTTGAATCCTTGAACCTTAGTGGAAGAGGAGCTTGTTTGGTCTGGTTTCTCTTCTCTCTGACTCCTATACAACCTCAAAATCTCACATGTTTTTTTCATTTCAGTCCTTGCAGTCTAGCTGGGTGATCATCATCATTGTTGCCTGTTTCCTTCCTTACAATGTCACCATTTTCAACATTTTGCCCAGTGATGCCACTCACTTATTCACTCTCAGCAGTTTTTACCAAACTAACACAGTATTCTCGTCTAACTAATTCATCCTGATCCAATTTATTTTAGTTCCATGAGACTGGACAAAACTAGATTGTTTCAGGATGGTGGGGACATAATGAAATGACCTGACCTCCTTCAGTCTTTTTGTACATTGTTGCTGTGTAACAGAGGATGGTGCTCATCTCCAGTGCTTCTCAATTTGTCTGGCCTCACCTCCATATGGTGGGTCCTCCTGTCCTGGTCCCCAGCCAACCAGTTAATTATAGCTCCTTCCCAGAAATCCATGACTTTCTCCAGCCAGGCAGCTGGTCAGCGCTGAGGAGAAGCCTTCCACCATTAAACTCTTGGGCTGCAACCTTGAACTAAGACCACTCACCTACAGGGATTATGTCGAGGACAGAGATCCTGTATGGGGAGATTAATTAGCATTGGGCTGTGGATGATTTGGTGCCAGGACTTCAACTGAAGATGAGAAGAAACTTGGAGTTTTAGTGCATTTGTTAAAGGAAAATAAATGCAAGGTGACAGCACCATTTTGTATGCTTATATTCATTTGAGTTATCTACCTTTTTGTGTACACTATACAACTACTTAAGAATAGTCATTCATAGAGCTTAACAATAAATAATTAACCCTTTAATCATTCTGATTTTACATTCCCAAACATAAAAGCATCTGTCTGTACATGAATTGTTATTATAACATCTACTTTACATGATGAAAATATAATGTTTTATATCACCAAATCATTTATACTATATATTTCTTCTTCTGATCTCCTCTAAGCAACAACTGAACTAATGTTGTTAGGATTGATTGACTAAATCTTCTAGTAACTCAATATAAGAATGCTCCATTACAAATAAAAGTTTTGGATTGAACATTTAATTGGATTCACATTAATATTGGATTATCATTCCTGGTGGATTAACTAATGAGTAGAATTGTAGTGTTGCAGATGGATGAGAGGGAGTTAATTTTAAGGATTTTTAAAGTCTATAGCAATGTGCAATATTTTGCAAGTGAGATCTATATCTGTAACGTAGCCATAACTACAGCTGTAACATAAATGTAGTGACGTTTTAAAAAAATACAATATTTGCCTCTTTGAAGTACAAAATAGAATAAGAGGAGATAAAATGGAAAACCATTCAAATAATAGTTTAATATAATACTTGAGTAATCTATTTATAATAATTCTTAGGTTTAGACCAAAAAAAACATTGGATTGGTTGGTTGTATTTTGAAGGCATAGCCTAACTTTGGCCTCTTATCACTATTTTATTCATTTTTACAAACCAAACAATCAATTGATTAATCAAGAAAATTATCAGATTAATCCATGATGAAAATAATCATTAGTTATACAGTCTATGGTTTAAGTCATATATAGAAACAGTTAAAATGAACTCCATCCCAAACAACTGCAGCAATAAAATGTTGCTTAGACATTAATGCAGATTAATGATGATCTAATGTTCTAATACTTAATAGTACAACACTCACACTCTCTTTTACTTATGTCACATTTTAATTGTAGGACCTTTACTTGTAAAGGATAATCTTTACACTGAAGAAAGTAGCAAGAAAACTTGTAGGTGACAAAATTTGTTACAGAGAATAAAAAATCAATTTGCTTATCAAAGCACGATTAACAAATTAATAATGTGTTTGAGTATATACACTTTCTCTGCAGGTGTTGTGTTGTCTGGCCACTTGGGGGCGCTTCCACACAGTAAATATTATATTGTGTTTCCACAGTCTTTTTAAACACTGTTTGATACTCATTTGTCTGCATGTTTAATGTTCTAACATATTAAACTTATATTTTACAATTAACTTTGCAAGATGGGGAATAGTTGGTATTATGCTCGGCTGATTTAGGAGCATGACAAAGAAGGCCACACAGTAACCACTTAAGGAAACTCAACCCAACCTTAGCAAACTAGAACATATGCAGTCAGTAATCAGTAGTGTAGTGTAAGCGCTGGATGCAAGGAAAAATGATAGCGCTAACTACCTGTAACAAGAACTTCACTGACCACAATTCCAATCCAAATAAAACCAAGTTGGCTGTCAGCCTTCCAGGAGGGCTGATAGAGAGAGAGGTCATCTTTGAAACCTCCCAGTTTAAATAGGCTCCAACCAGGTGAAGCCAGTCCTTTAATGAGACGGGAGGGACCAGCCAATCAGGAAGAACCTGGAAATAAATGAAGCAGGGAATCACTCACTCACTCACTCACTCACTCACTCACTCCTGCCTACTCACTATCCAGGGAGTTCTATGTAGAGGAGTATACAGTGAGTTCTTCTGTAAAATGAAAAAGCACTTTCGTAATTTTCTCTGCACTGTTTTTCTGTCTTTCAGTGCGAGCGTAATGCATGATGGTATATATTGCTTTGTTAGTGACCATGGGTTGTACACTACTTTTCTTAATGCATTGCGGGATAAAATGAAGACCCCCACTAACAGTGTGTTCGTGACATTTTACTGGCGCGAGAAAGTGCGTCGGCCATGACGTTTTACTGAATATTAAACTCTAATTTATGAAGACTCGTGTGAAAAGATCTGTTACTAAACCTGAACTTCAGTATAAATAAAGATCTCTTGCCTCCTTCTCTGAAACTGAACAAAATGCCATCAGCACAACTGACCTTTCATACTCAGTTTGAACGTGTTTGCTGTTGAGGTCACAGACTGAAGCTGCAGCAGAGTCAAAGCCAGATTTAATGGACGTGAATCAAAACGCCTCATGTTCGCTCACTAACTACTGTGATGACTCTTACTCATGTAAACCTTTATCCCGCCATGAGAATCAATACCTAACAAAGATGTGACATTTACTTCATTTGAATTGAGGAAGTTTGTCAAAGTCAAGTGGCAACAATGAGCATTACATGAGGCTAATGAGAACAGAATGAATTTTTTGGCTCATTTGGTGATCTCTTTAATCACAACATACTGTAAGTGAACAGGTATAGCACAATTAAGTTTAGATATTCATAATAGTTCATGACAAAGAGGACGTCATGGGGAGGCATCATATGCATTTAGTGTGTATGTATGGTTACTATCAAACAGATTTAAGTGGCTGCGTGTTGGCCTAGAATTCTACTTCATGATATTTATATTGTGCCACCGATTAAGCTGGAATAAAAAGCAGTTAGCTTTCCCAATGCACAGCTTTAGTGGCCTCAAAGGTAATGCTAATGCTATTATTATCCTGGGGGAAGTTGGTGTCTGAGTTCAATCTATAAACTAAAGGAGATGGATGATGAAAATATTTCTTTAAGTTGTGGTTTATCCATTAGCTCAGTATTTCTGTGTCTCTAGGCGGCAGTG